ACATAATACTTGGTAGCATCTATACCTTTCATCACAGTTGATACGTGTTCATTATTTCAGAGTTGATGATGCCTTCTGGTTACATATTTTAAAAACACAATTCTTAATTCTCTGAATAATTCATAATGATATGTTAGTTTTTCCCCTTTAAATTCTGACAAGGACGACATTACCCATAAGTACGCCACTTTAGAGTTGCTCAAGTGGTTGTGACTGTAGGGCTGGGACTTTGGAACCAAGAACCGGAGAACCGAACCGGACTGAACCATTATGACCCGGTTCGGTTCGATTCCAAAATTTATTAGTTATTTGTTAATGGTTCGGTTCCTACTTTTTATTAACGGTTCGGTTTTCGGTTCCTGTAAAAAATATGTACGTGGAACCGTTAAAGAACCGTTATATATAATAATTAAAATTATATATATTTCTCATTAGTATATATATTTTAATGTATATTTACTTATCTATTTTCATATTACATTCTCTATTTTAGTTTAGTTATTTAACTATTTGAAATTATTTTTCATTTAACTGGTTTTATTGGGCTTCTTTACCGAATATCTTTTTTTTTTTTGTTTTCTAAAATTTGCAGTTTGTAATGTATTTATCTTTTAAACTCAACTTTTGAGGTTTGAAATGAAGTTCAACATATTTGTATTGTAATTTCAAGCATTGAATGTATTTTTGACACAAATTTAACCGTGATTTGTAAGATTTTTTTAAATACTAGGAACCGTTAAATGACAAGAACCGAACCGTTAAGAACGGTTCGGTTCCTTATCGGTTCCACAAAATAATTTATAAGAACCGAACCGTTAGTAAAATTCCATATTTTCAAACGGTTCCACATATTTCGCCTAGGAATCGAACCGGTCCCAGGCCTAGTTGTGAGTAGGGGTGTAAACGAGCCGAGCCGAGCCCGAGCATGGGTATGCTTGAGCTTGAGCTTGATAAGAATTCACGAGCTCGAGCTCGATCTCGAGCTTGGACGAGTTAAATATTTCGAGTTCGATCTCGAGCCGAGCTCAACTCGAGCTGTATTCGAGCTTGATTCGAGCTTTGGTCAAGTTTCGCTAATTAATTTTTATAGATTTGAACTTGAATTTGATGCTCGAACTCGAGCTAAAAATATTATAGGTGTACTTTTTCATTCTCATTTTTAGGTTATTTCTTATTTACTAACATTTGTATTCTTATTTTATTGTCAATAAATATTAAAAGTACATATTATAATTATTACAGATTATGAGTATAATAATAATACTACACACATGTTATTATTTTTGTAATTATTACTATTATAATATACTCCATCTGTGATAAGTATTGAAATGGAATAGTCCTAAATTGGAATATATATTTCAAAAAGTGTATATATATAATTATTACATATATATTTATTATATATAAAATATGACACAAAGGCTCGCGAACCGGCTCGCGAGCAACGAGCCTAAAATAAATAGGCTTGAATTGAGCTTGTTAACTATTCGAGTCGAGCCGAACTCGAGCCGAGCTTAATATGACCGAACTCGAGTCGAACTTTTCCCGAGCGATCCACGAGCGACTCGCGAGCGGCTTGGCTCATTTACACCCCTAGTTGTGAGTAAGTTTTATCCAAGAGGTCTCGGATCGGATTAAATCTCATGTATCAAAAAAATCAACAATAAGTGTAACATTTTATTAAGTAATCAAATGCAATGGGCGCTGAAGGGGTAAGATCACATAGAAGGGTACAGAGGAGTCTAACTTCTCAAGCTAAACCAGCACCGGTACACCAGTGAATACACTGTATACACTGACAGGTTAGATAAAAAAAATTGTTACCTGAAAACCTTTTTCAGTAGGTGGTGGGCGTGCTAATGAAGAAGGTTGAAATGCAGCATTAGGTGCAGCAGGTTGGCTAGTAAAGACTATATTAGCAGGATGAGTAGGCAACAAAGGATGTCGCATTTGCGGCTTCAAAGAGGAAGTGTCACCCTGAATATGAGAGATAGCAGTCAAATTACCCTGAGCGTGAATAGTTGAAATGGAGTGTACCCCAGAATGTGCTGGCAATCTCCCATGTAGCAAATTGTTGTTTTCAGTCAACTGTGGGTGTGGGATGTGAGAACTGTGAAGAGGGGGGGCAGCCCCGGGAAGCATTTGAATCGCTAGTTGTTGATTGTGATGATTGTCGGGCAACACAGACTGCGGTGGAGGAACAGATGACTGCCGAATATTAGGCACCTGTAACTGCATATTTGAAAGATCATTCAACACAGTAAGTTCACAATAATAGTTTCAGAACAGCAAAGAAGCTTCAGCTAATAAACTATAACAAAGTTTTAACAAAACTAACCATTTGAGGAGAAACCAGTCCAAGCATTAGCTGTGCCTGCACGTAAGAGACCAATAGTTAAAGATGATGGATCATACAAAACAGCTAAACTACCACACTGTATGGATATACTATTATGCTAACACAAGAAGTCAAGAAATAATGAGTGGAGCTGGTCATAGTGCATATTAGAGAAGGAAAGCATATTGGTGAAACTTTATAGTACGAAGTACGAACTGGGGAAAAAATCGCAATAAGTCTGTTGAGTATCCCACATTGGTTGTCTATTGTGTTGAAATATAGTATATAAGTGTGACATAAACATCATCTCTTGCGAGTTGTTATTCATAACTTAAAGTTAGTCACTTTATTTTGACATGCTTTTATCGAGTTGTGCTCATCAACACGACAACAATCGATTTCATTGATGAAGAAAAGAAAGTGTCATTTATGCTCTGTTTGTTTTACAGATACGTTTAAAATAAAATGTTTATTCAAAGGATTATATTATACTACCTCCGTCCCATAAAACTTGGCCAAAGTTGACTTGCACATAGATTAATAAAGTAAAAACTATGTGGTTAATATTTGTGCAAAGGAAAGAGAAATAACTTTGGCCACATATATGTTACTTTAAATGGAAGTGGCAAAGTTTTTTGGGACGGGCAAAAAAGGAAAGTTGGCCAAGTTTTATGGGACGAAGGTAGTACTACGTAGTATACATTGAAGTATCGAACAACTTATATTCCAGTAAAACACTTCCCTCAAAAACTTTTTTACAACTTTTTTCAGCAAAGAAGCCGATTCTAATGAAGACCAGGAAGACTTCTCTGTATTCAAGTACCTAATAAATCAAAGCTACAGCATGCATAGAATGATGATTCCTTGAGAATGAATTGTTTTGAAGTGTGGGGCACCAAGATATGGGTTTTGGCTTTTTAAATTGTAAACACCATAATAACTCCCAACAATAAATGTTATACAGAATCTGGATCTAAGATCAATAGATACCTGGAAAATTGCTTTAGGCAAGTTAGGAATTGTATGTAATAGTTGGCGGGCATGTTCCTTGTTTCGTGTTGCTATAGCCTGCCATGGTACCATCAAACTAAAAAATAAATGAAACTAACTATGGAGAAAAATTGAGAACTCAAAATATGATAACATGTTTAGTTACATTGTTTTTTAAAATCACTTTTGGTATCATTGTTGTTTGCTATTGTTTGAATTTTTCAATCCTTCTAATTTGTCAAGGGGTGAAAAGTACTTGGTTCCCATTTCAGTGAACTCCTCATAATCTTTCTTTTGTTGAGCAGCATGCATTTTCAGGGTGCTCACTTTTCAAAACATGGAACGTGGCTACTGGCTAAGTGATCTAATTGACATTGCGCCTCATGCTCAGGTGGTTTCGCCAATAGTAGACAAGGAAAATATTGAACGGTGGTGTGGGCAGGGGTTTCCGAGAAATTCAAATAGCCTTTGCGGTTTCCAGATGCAGAAGGGTGGAGATGGGTTCTCACTTCTCAGGATGGGGATTGGGGAAAGAAAAGAAAAAATTGGGTTGCTGAAGAAAAGAGTGACTGGTATCATTGATAGTGGACTATAGCCTTCTTCGTTTAGGTAAAAAAAATGTTTTGCTAAATGTTCAAGAAATTTTTAAAACAATTAACTTTAAAAATGTACACAAAAAAATAACATGATAACAATACAAATATACAAATCTCTCTCTATATTTAACAAACCTTCATATCAGAAATTATTTCATACAGCTGACTCCTTGACATTTTAGAAAGGTAATGCGATAAAGGATCAATGCCAGATACAAGCTGATTCTGTAAGCCTGCCTGCCCCAATTGAGCCGCTCCAAGAGCTCCAGCCATGACAGTGGCGGCACTTGTAGCTATTGGATGTCCAATTGGCTGGTGTAAACTTGAATTTCCAATAGCAGATGGCCCCCCCATATGTCTTTGAGGATCTGCAAGTCCCAGTTGAAGAGAAACAAAACATAATGAAATATTTTTGGTTGGAGGGGGAATGAAAAATATTAAAAGAGTAGAATGAAACACACCAGCAGCTGCACCAGGCCCACCACGACCCTGTAAGAAAACAAATTCATGAAGCTTATGTTTCGGAAGTTAAAATATGGCCACTGAGTTAATGACAAGCAAGTACATCTAGCTATGAAAACTTCAGTTATTTACAGGCAAAGATGTGTACAATATTCAAGTCTTCATTCTTCTCCCTGAAGCTAAATACATGGTATCTATTTATGGCTCAAATAACAAGACTCACGCCAATAGGAGGGACGGTGAGGGATAACTGCAGGAGACAAAGACACCTCTGTGCTTCTATGAAAAACAATGCACTACCCAGGTATCACAGGTAACAACATTGATGTAAACTTGTACAAGAAACAGAGACAGAAATAAAAAATAGGGAAAATCGCATATATGGTCCCTCAGTTATCCACGAAATGAAAATCTCAGACCTGTATTTCTGATATTGTAAATGTCACCCCTCAATTGTCCAAAATGTTGGAAATGTGGTCCTTTAAGTAGTGAAATGTACTCTCGCTCACATTGTATATTTCACCCCTCAAAAGGACCACATTTACAGCATTTTGGATAATTGAGGGGTGACATTTACAATCTCAGAAATACAGGTCTGAGATTTTAATTTCGTGGATAACTGAGGGACCCTATATGCGATTTTCCCTAAAAAATATATATGACCACACAAATGTTCATCAGTCAATAACACTACTCTCTACCCAGATAAGTTTTTTTACATTTAAGACCACTCAAATTCAATTCTTAAATTTTGTAATTTCAGTCATTGTTTTTTACTTTTTTATATAAAAATGCACGTTCTAGTGCTACTCCTATGCATGAACATCTATAATATTAATTTTTCAACATTTCTCTAAACATTTATGGCCTTACAAAGGAAGTCCATAATCCAATTTCTCTTTTTCCATTTTTTGTCCTAATACTCATTTCCCTTTCTGGCCTACATAGCCATCATTTACTTAGGAAGTGTGACACTATCTCGCAAATATTCCAATTTACCTGTTAAGTTATCCCCATTTTACATTAGATATTGTAATGTTTATAAAATGTCCTCTCCTATGTTTATAAAACGGTTTGTTTTTAGTTCACGCACATACAAAAGGTATAAATCCTGCCATCTCATAAGTTAATCTTATTATCTTATAACTCAGCGTATTTTTAGAATCTTTAAAGCATATAACCCATAAGGTAATAGGAGACTTGAATAAAAGAGAGTTAAAGGAAGAGAATAATTTTCTGGTTGTGTGTCTGTCCACAACCCTGAACTCCTTTATTTATAATAATGAGTGTACAAGTACATTAGTGAGAGAGAGGAGATGAAAGGTCAAATAAGAAGAAAGGTCAGTTCTAGAAAATACAGAGGAGTCTATTTAGCTACCAATAAATCTTGATAAATCTAACACTCCCCCTCAAGCTGGAGCATACAAATTGTATGTACCAAGCTTGGAACAAATAAATTCAATTCGTGGACCTCTCAAAGACTTTGTTAACACATCTGCAAGTTGATTATTGGACCCAATAAAGTCAGTGCTGATTTCTTTAGGCATCAGCTTTTCTAGAACGAAATGGCAATCGATCTCTATGTGTTTCGTTCTCTCATGGAACACCGGATTTGAGGCGATGTGAAGGGCAGCTTGGTTATCACAATACATCTTCATTTGTTGAACCTTAAAGAACTTTAATTCTTGAAGAAACTGTTTTACCCATATGAGCTCACAAGTGAGAGACACCATTGCCCTATATTCCGCTTCAATATGATAAAACTGTTTCTTGATAAAGTACCCACAACCCTAAAATTACTACATTCCTAAAGTTCCTTTGTCTTCACTTATCATCTCATCTATTTTTAACTCCCCCACATCTGACATCTCTAAAGTTACTTTGTGATCTTCTCTTTCTTTCTTCTACCATCCAATCCGCATTTTACCCATTTCCTCTCCTTTCTCATCGCCCTCTCTAATCTCTAATCTACTTTGTCTTCACTTATCATCTCATCTATTTTTAACTCCCCCACATCTCTAAAGTTACTTTGTGATCTTCTCTTTCTTTCTTCTACCATCCAATCCGCATTTTACCCATTTCCTCTCCTTTCTCATCGCCCTCTCTAATCTCCTCATGTATTCATTTCTCATCTCTGTTATTTTTCATTTATTCTGTTTCTTCTTCAGCTCTTCTTTTTCTGACCATCTCCTCTTTTTGTTTCTCTTCTTCTATTTTGTATACTAAATATTGGATTGATCAGTTGGGTTTTACAGCTTCATAATTTATTTGATTATTTGACTCTAGAGACCGATGAGATACCAGATCCACTACCAATAATGGATCACAACCACAACCACAACCACCGCCCCAACAGTTGTCAAAACCTTGGCAACCATGGGCAGGCTGACTGCCACAGGCTACCAACAACCATGATCATTGCCGGCTGTGAGGTTGTCAATGTGGCCAAAAAATAACAATGTTAACAAAAATGTTTCCCCCTGTGAAAGACATTGGAATATGCCGTATAATATGCTTTAGAATATTCTTCTATCTTTAGAATATGCTTTAGAATATTTTAGGAATATACTCTAGGATATTATTATTGTATAGCATCTTATAGGAATATTCTATCTTTGTAATGTATATATATAGGGACTTAACCCTCCAATGAAATACACAGAAAATTCTTCCATTCTCATTACTATTATATGCTTAATTCTGATAACATGGTATCAGAGCTGTTTCCTTTGTTTACAGAATATCAGTTTAGTTCAGAATCTCAGTTCCGAACATTGTTTCTCTAAGCAGTTCACAGAACCTCTGTATTCTTTTCAGCTTAGTTTTCCATATCTCAGTTTAGTGTTCAGACTGGATTCTTTCCCCAAGAGCTTGAGTTCAGTCCAGAATCTTCAGAACCTCTAGGCACCACTCTGTCTTCAAGAATCTCCATTACAGGAAAGGGGCTAATATCTGTGGGAGGAAGTCTGGTGGTTGGTCGCTGGGGTCTGACATCGGACAACACTGGTGGACGGACATCTGTGAAAATCTGCTCATCTGGTTCTTCGCGCTGGGGTCTCGCTTGGAATGTTTCCTCTCCTTCGCGGATCGCGTCTGGTTCTCTTATTCTCCGCATCAGTCAACGCCAAGCTGGATATCTTAGTCTCCAAATTTTAAGTCCACAGTCGGGAACCCTGCTGTAAGATTTCAGAATATCTCATTTTGTTTTAATATTATTATTGTCTCAAAAAAAAAAAAAAGAATAAAAAAAAGAGAAAAAAAAAATGCCTGGTTCTGACACTGACACCTCCGCAGTAACACAAAGTAAGCCTTTGATAGTTTCTGAAGTTATTCCCATTAATTTTAAAATTACTGAGAATAAACTTTGTGGCTCCAATTATCTTGAATGGAGTAAAACTATCAAACGTTATTTAAGGAGCATTGATAAATATACCCACTTAGTTGATGACCCGCCAAAGGAGGAGGTTGATAGAGCTGCTAATACTGCCTGGCTTCGTGACGATTCTAGATTATTTATCCAGATTCAAAACTCAATGGAGAATGAGGTAATGGGGTATATTAGTCATTGCGATACTGTGAAAGAACTGTTTGATTATTTGGAATTTATGTATTCTGGAAAAGGTAATCTTAACCACATCTATGAGGTGTGCAAAGCCTTTTACAGAGCAGAAATGAAAGATAAGCCTCTCACGGCTTATTTTATGGATTTCAAGAAAACCTATGAAGAGCTGAATACATTAATGCCATTTAGTCCTGATATCAAAGTGCAGCAGAAACAAAGAGAACAAATGGCAGTGATGAGTTTTTTGGCTGGTCTAACATCTGAATTTGAAACAGCCAAATCACATATCTTATCTAGCGATGAGGTCTCTTCTCTTCAAGAGTCTTTCACTAGAGTGCTTCGCACCGATACTTCATCCACACCATTAACACCTCAGTCAAGCAATGCATTTGTAGGGCAAGTTCCGACATTCACCAGAGGAAGTGAGAAATATCCACGTACTGGCCCATCTGGCAAAGGCATAGTATGCAACTACTGTAAAAAGCCTGGACACTTGATCAAAGATTGTAGAAAATTAAAATTCAAAAATCAAGGAAACCAGGTTGCTCACATTGCTTCCGCTACACAGTCTTCTGATGGATCACTAAGTATGTCTTCTGAGGAATACGCCAAATTTCTTTGCTACCAAGAGACTCTAAAGCATTCATCTACTCCTATCTCAGCTGTCGCTAATTCAGGTAATCCAAACACATGTCTTGTGTCTTCATCCTCAAAATGGGTTATCGATTCAGGGGCAACAGATCATATGACAGGTAATCCTAGTCTTTTTTCCTCATTCCACACACCTCTTCATACTTCTAGTGTTACTTTGGCTGACGGATCTACGTCACCAGTTCTTGGAACGGGTACAATTGTCCCAACACCTACCTTACCTTTGTCGCCCGTCCTAAGTCTTCCAAACTTTGCCTTTAATTTGATTTCGATCAGCAAAATCACACGTAATCTTAATTGCTCTGTAACCTTTTTTCCTGGATATTGTGTATTTCAGGATCTGGTGACGAATCGGGTTATTGGTAAAGGATATGAATCGGCTGGTCTCTATCTCTTGGATACATCCTTACCCAAATCCATCTCTTGTCTTGGAGTTGGAACTGTGTTAGAGGCTCATTATCGACTGGGCCATCCCTCTCTCCCGTTGTTAAAGAAACTTCATCCTCAATTTCATAAGGTGTCATCTTTACAGTGTGATTCATGTCAATTTGCAAAACATCATCGAACTAGTTTAAGTCCCCGAGTCAATAAACGAGCACACGCTCCTTTTGAACTTGTTCATTCTGATGTTTGGGGCGCTTGCCCTGTTGTGTCCAAAACTGGTGTTAAATATTTTGTTACCTTTGTTGATGATTATTCTCGTATGACTTGGATATATTTCATGAAACGTCGTTCTGAATTATTTTCTCATTTTTGTGCCTTTTGTGCTGAAATTAAAACTCAATTTAATGTACCTGTCCGTATTTTAAGGGGAGACAATGCTCAAGAATATTTATCTTCCTCATTTAAGTTGTATATGGCTCAACATGGCATCATTCATCAAACTTCATGTGTAGACACACCTCCCCAAAATGGAGTTGCCGAACGAAAGAACAGACATCTATTAGAAACTGCGCGGGCTCTTCTATTCCAAATGAATGTGCCTAAACAGTTTTGGGCAGATGCTGTATCTACCGCATGTTTTTTGATCAATAGAATGCCATCTACTGTTTTGGATGGTAAAACTCCATATCAGTGCCTATTTCCAAATAATGAAAATTTTCCTATCCCTCCTAAAATATTTGGTTGCACTTGTTTTGTACGAGATGTTAATCCTCATTTAACAAAGTTAGATCCCAAGTCATTAAAGTGCATTTTCTTAGGCTACTCTCGAGTTCAAAAGGGTTACAGATGTTTTTGTCCAAGTACGGGTCGATATCTTGTTTCAATTGATGTCTCTTTTCATGAAAATACACCGTTTTCATCAACAGAGACAAATATTTGTAGGGAGAATGATGATGTACTCATTTACACAGTCACTATACCCGAGTCCACTGCTTCAGCCGTTGTTCCACATGTTACTTTTCCTGAGCCTAGTCCCCCGGTACACTTGGTCTACACCCGTCGAAACAAAGTACAAGATCACCCTCCTCCTGTGGTTACTTATCCTGATACTGATCCGGTCTCGATCTCATGTCCTGAACCAATACCTGCATCTCCAGATCCTGCCTCTACATCAGATCTTGACCTCCCTATCGCACTACGTAAAGGTACACGGTCTTGTACTCATCCTATTTCTTCATTTGTGTCGTATAATCAGTTATCATCTGCCTCATGTTCTTTTATTGCTTCCATTGATTCTATTTCTGTTCCCAAATCTGTTAAAGACGCTTTGTCCCATCCTGAATGGCGTCATGCCATGGTAGAGGAAATGAATGCTTTGGATCTTAATGGTACTTGGGATTTGGTAGACTTGCCTGCAGGGAAGAAATCTATTGGATGTAAGTGGGTCTTTGCTGTAAAGGTTAACCCTGACGGATCCGTTGCTCGGTTGAAAGCCCGATTAGTAGCGAAGGGTTATGCTCAAACCTATGGGGTTGATTATTCTGACACTTTTTCTCCTGTTGCTAAATTAACATCTGTCAGGTTACTTATTTCTCTCGCTGCAACTAATGGTTGGCACTTACATCAGCTGGACATTAAAAATGCATTCTTGCACGGTGATCTTCAGGAGGAAGTTTATCTTGAGCAACCTCCAGGGTTTGTTGCTCAGGGGGAGTATGGAAAAGTGTGTCGACTTCGAAAGTCTCTTTATGGTTTGAAACAGAGTCCCCGTGCATGGTTCGGGAAATTCAGTCAATCAATTGAACGATTTGGAATGATAAAGGGCAAATCAGATCACTCTGTATTTTACAGACGAACGAAAGCAGGTATCACATTGCTTGTGGTGTATGTCGATGATATTGTGATTACAGGGAGTGATAATGCAGGTATTTTGGCTCTTAAGAATTTTCTTCATAGTCAATTCCAGACGAAAGATTTGGGCTCATTGAAATACTTCTTGGGGATTGAGGTTATACGGAGCAAGAAAGGCATATTTCTATCTCAACGTAAATATGTGCTTGACTTGCTAACTGAAACAGGGAAACTGGGGGCAAAACCGAGCAATACTCCCATGATTCCCAATGTGCAGCTCACTCATGAAGGCGTACCATTCGAAGATCCAGAAAGATATAGAAGGTTGGTTGGAAAGCTTAACTATCTCGCAGTTACCCGTCCAGATATTGCGTACTCAGTGAGTGTAGTAAGTCAATATATGTCATCCCCGACAGTTGATCATTGGAATGCTGTAGAGCATATATTATGTTACTTGAAGGGGACACCAGGACGAGGTATTGTTTATCAAAATCATAATCACATGAGAATAGAATGCTTTGCAGATGCTGATTGGGCTGGATCTAAAGATGATAGAAGATCCACATCTGGCTTTTGCGTCTTTGTTGGTGGTAATCTCGTCTCTTGGAAAAGTAAGAAGCAGAATGTGGTTTCTCGTTCGAGTGCTGAATCAGAATATCGGGCTATGGCACAATCGGCATGTGAGATAATCTGGATAAATCATCTATTGAGTGAAATTGGACTGAAGACACCAATGCCTGCTAAACTCTGGTGTGATAACCAGGCTGCTATACACATTGCTAACAACCCAGTGTTTCATGAGAGAACAAAACATATTGAGGTCGATTGTCACTTTGTTCGAGAAAAGATACAACAAGGATTGATCTCTACAGGATATGTGAAGACGGGAGAGCAACTTGGAGACTTGTTCACTAAAGCACTAAATGGAATTCGTGTTAGTTATTTATGTAACAAGTTGGGCATGATAAATATCTATGCTCCAACTTGAGGGGGAGTGTGAAAGACATTGGAATATGCTGTATAATATGCTTTAGAATATTCTTCTATCTTTAGAATATGCTTTAGAATATTTTAGGAATATACTCTAGGATATTATTATTGTATAGCATCTTATAGGAATATTCTATCTTTGTAATGTATATATATAGGGACTTAACCCTCCAATGAAATACACAGAAAATTCTTCCATTCTCATTACTATTATATGCTTAATTCTGATAACACCCCCATTGGATTTGAGTGATAAATTACAAAAATAAAGATTAGTAAAATGTAAAACTTGGAGAGAAGTAAATAGTGCCAATGTTTTCTGTCTACATTCTGATTTGGAAAAATAGTAAATTGTGAGTCCAAAATGAAACAGTTTTTCCAGAAAGCTAGAGGGTTCAAGTACCTGAACAAATCTGAAGCGCAGAAAAATTCCATCAAACTTAAAGTTAAAAAATGCATAACAAATAGTGACATGGGACAGATAGCCACATAAAATCAGTGTCATAAAATAATTGAGAGCTGAACCAATTAAAAGTTTAGACTTAGGAGAACCAATGAACCAAACACCTTACTTGTTCACGGTTTTTGTCAGCATTTTTATCATTCTCAGCAAAATCAACTCTTAACTGGCGACCATTTATCTCATATCCCTGCAGATTACGTCGAGCACTCCGGGCAGTTTCCTCATCCTTGTATTCACAAAATCCATAACCCTTGGGCTTTCCAGTTTCTCTGTCAGTTACTAATCTGAGGAGAAAATACAGAAATTATGTAAAGATGGTTGTGTGATGATACTATCAGGGACCAAAAGCAAAACACAGAGCACAAAGTCATAACATTTCACCAAATCATACAAATAAATGAATAACTAAAGTTCTATGAATTGAGATACCACTCTATACATACATTTGACAATAAATATAACAGAGTCCTATATGAAGCGAAAGTTTTTTACTCGGTTTTACTCCGACCCCACACTCCAAAATTTGATTTTGATGGATTTGATGGATGAAATAGGGCCTTGGGGACTAGAAACAAAAAAAAAATTCCTCCCTCTCTCTGCATTCCCTACCAATCAAAATCGAAGGAAGTAACACTCCCTGTACTACTGCCTTGGCTTATTTCCTTGATTAATGGGTGAAAATCCATAATAATTTGAACAAACTAATATTAGGCTTCAAACATTTGACTCACGCCCTCACTGATAAGTGATAATATCATCAGTGCTATTCAATTTTTGGAATTGAACTCTTTATCCTGAACCAATAATGGGAGAAGGCTTTTATTGATACCATAAAGGATTTAAATCCCGTCCAAGTATTGCTAAATGCAATTATTAGATTATAGGTTTTGAAAGCCAAGTCCATGCCTTTTTCTGATTCTTGTTGGACAAACATAACAAAAATTGATTTGCTTTCATATATCCAAAAAAGTTACGAACTTTTCTTTTATCCATAGCTATAATATGCAACTTTGATATCTGGGAAGTTGGGTTTTTCTGTTAAACTAAATGTAGTAATCTCAACTAGGAAACTAACCTGAATGAAACAACAGGGCCAACCTCCTCACAGATTTGAACTAGCTGTTCTTCAGTAGCATCATAAGGTATATTTCCAACTACAGATCACCACCCAAGATAATTGAATTAAAAAAAGTGTACCTTTAATCGATATTATAACTTCATGTGTTCCAGCGATATACAAAGGTATACCAAGTGATGCAATTTAAACAATAAAAAAAAAAAAACACGTTTTCCATTCAATTTATGTATTCCTATCAATCAAGAGATAAAGACTGGTTAGGTAGTTACTAACCAAAAACACAACGGCGTTGAGAATCGGGATTGGCCATGTGCAACTACAATCAGAAGAAGTTATGGAGATTCAATTTCTTTCTTCCCATTGTTCCTCCAAACTATTCGTTTCCATTAACGCATCTAATATATTTCCCAATCTAATCCAGATTTGCAAAAATTCCTTTGGAATGAACAATTATTGGCAATCAGCGGGAAATTGGGTCTCCAAGTTTATGTAAGGCGGTCGTTGGCGAAGACCGGAAGAGAGGGCAGTCGTGTACCTCTCGCCGGAAACCCAACGATGATTCCCCGGGAACCCTAACTCCCCTACTTCCTTCGCGTCACCGGTTTCGTCTCGACTGAGTCCTCTTTCTCCGCACCTTAAATTCCGATCCTCGTCGCCTTCCCCACTCTATCTGTGCTCGTGGTTAACTGGTTACTCCGTATTATTTTCAGTACATACACTTTTTTACCATATTGCTTGTCATGGTC